TCTGGAGCCCGCCGGATTGCAGTGATCCTGCCGCTTTTCTGCGAAACGCGGCTCCGGCGGTGATTGCGGTAGATGGCTTTTAAAAACCCCGAACTTCCAGCGGTGCGCAAGGAGCTTTTGCGAAGCTCCTCCAGCGAGAGCGGCGTTACTGCTGCTGACTTTTCTGCGGAGATGGCAAACGCAGAAGTCCTCTTTGTAACAAGACTTAATTCCCTGGGAATAAAAAATGCAATTACTGCAAACCGCTTTTTTTTCGAAATTACTTTTTTTTTCTTCTTTTTTTTTTTTAATACCAGGGCTAATTGCAGTACTCTTGGGGTGACTAATGAACAAGGTCTGAATCTCAGCTGGGCAGCCTTGAGCGGGGAGGCTCTTTTCCCCGTCTCAGCTGCACCTCGGAGAAGGCAGAGGGGTCGCATTGCCAGGGTGCTGTAGCTACATCGTTTTGTTGGGTTTGCCCTCATGTATGCAGTCTTGGTTTGGTTTTATTTTCTAACGATTTAGAAGCCTTCCTCACGCACACAGTGTTTTTTGGAGTCGGCACTTAAAGTTCATTTTTAGCGTTAATGGCATTATTTGGTTGGGATGATCTATGAGCATTTCTCATGGATGTCTGATAGGGAAAAGCTTAGAGTGGTTTGGGTTTGGTTTTGGTTTTTTTCTTAATATTATGTGTGTGCTTCTTGCAAGCACACTTAAAATTACTTTCTCCTGCCTGCAGAGTTGTTGTAGACTGCATTTGGGAAAAAAGTGAGGTAACTATCTGTTTCTTGTTTCTTGTTCTTTTTTTTTTTGTTTTGTTTTGTTTTCTCCTCCGGTTCTTTCTTGGGATTAACAGGTGACTTTAGCATCGGGACAGTTTGAGTTGGAGATCTTATCCATGCAAAATGTGAATGGTGAACTGCAAAATGGAAATTGCTGTGATGGCACCCGAAACCCAGGAGATGGAAAATGCACCAGAGACGAGTGTGATACCTATTTTAAAGTTTGCCTGAAGGAGTATCAATCGCGGGTCACTGCTGGCGGTCCTTGCAGCTTTGGATCCAAATCCACTCCCGTCATCGGAGGAAATACCTTCAATTTAAAGTACAACCGGAATAATGAAAAGAACCGGATTGTTATCCCTTTCAGCTTCGCCTGGCCGGTGAGTTGTGTGGCCTGCTGTGGCTCTGCTTCTGTTGGACGGTGCTGTTTGAGATTGCCATAGTGAGCCGAGTTCTAACTTCTTGTGCAGGGGGAGAGGGACCAGGATTGGGGAGGGAACAGGCATCTCTGGCAAGAGCATCAGGAATCCACAGCACAGAAATGAGTAAAATGTGGTGGTGTTTTTGTTTTTGTTCCCTGGGGCTCACAATGCACAGCCTGTTAAATTTGAAAGTCAGATGTGCAGTGAGGGGGATCTAAATGGGTCAGGGAAGCAAACCCAGTATCTCTGCACTTTACAGCATGAATAAGTCTCTTGAGACCTAGAAGGTCAGAAGTTCATTTTTTTTTTTTTCTTTCCCCCCGCTCCCCCCCCAACCAATGAAGTCTTGGGCTTAAGCCAAAAGAGAGCGGTGGGTTAGGGGCTGTAGAGGGATCCCGTGTGAAAAGTGTGTGTCATCGCTGGCCTCCTTCCCTGGAGCGTGTTTTGGAAGGCTTCCTGCTTCTCCCAAGGGGAAATCTCACTGCACTGCTTGGTGTTGATGGGAGCTGCTGTTGCTGCTCTCAGTGAGCTAGCTGCCAGTTTCCCTGAGAAGCTGGCTATGTTCTGGGGTACTTGCAGACTCTAGAAGCTGAAGACTGAGAAAAGCCTGGCCTTAGCTTTTGGTCCATTTCACCCACTCCTCCCCACGGCACACCTTTTCCTGGCTGCTTGCCTCTGCAGTCCATAGATCTGGCTTCCCTCTAGCTGTGTGCAAAACTCGAAGGCTCAAGGAGATGGGGCTCTTTGCCAGGCACTTTCCCAGGGCTGTCCACTCTAGCAAATACTGCTCAGCCTTGTAGGGCGGTGAGATGGAGGACAGGACACCCCTTCATTAGCTGAAGCCTGCTTTGTTATTGGTCGTGCAAAGAACGCTCACTTAGATTTCAGTGCTGCTTGTTTCTTCTGGGGTGCTCGAGAGGGCTGAAGCTTTGATATGATCAGCTCTGCAGAGGAGTCTTCCACTCGCTGCACAGAAACTGAGAACCATCCTCCCAAAACGGCCATCACTCAGGACAGACCCACAGATGCAGGCTCCAGGGCCGTAGGATTTCTGGACATAGAAGACTGCCCTGGCCTTGGATGGCAGGAGGGTGGTTGTTCTGTGCCCAGCAGTGCTGTGTGCAGGCAAGCAAAAACTGAGGATGACTGACCTGGGGGGCTCTTACACACAAATGTCTGTCTTGAGGTGCCTCTCTGGGATGCTATGGTATGAAAGCTGAAAACTCCCAAATTTATGCTCCTAAAACTTGTATTTAGAGATCACCTAGGAAACAAAACTGTTTTTCCCCCCCTCCCCTTCTCCAAAGGTGCTGAGCAGACAGTTTCCCACCAACTGCCTTGGGATATGTTGATGCTCAGCAGTTTTGAAAATCCAGTCATCCTAACCTAGATGCCTAAGGTCATTTTTGCGAGGGGAGGAGGGCTCTTAACGTGCGTGCAGGGGAGAGGTGAATCCTGTTTCCTATCCTCTGTCACTATCACTGCTGGTGAGGTGGAAGCGTATGTAGACTTTCCGCTCCCTCCAAAGCTTGGCCCTTCCTAGTCAGATAAGGACTGGTTGCTGGGAGGGCCTGGACTTTTCAGGGCTGGGAGGGGGGGGGGAAGCTCCCCCCTAAAAGCATTCCTTCTCCAGCTGTAGTGTAGACACCCACTTTGTAGTCCTACGGCCAAGTGCTGCAGGCAGCCATGTGTTCTTGAAATGGCCTGTGCTGCCTCCTACCTGCCTCCTCTGTCAGTTGTGACTTCTGGAGTATTGAGGGCTGGAGAGGCACAAGGGTGAAATCAAGTCTGCATTTTTAAGGAGATAGTATTACAAACTACAATAGCAGAGTTAACAACAGTATTCTCTGTTGGAAGTACAAGTCCTTCCTTTCTTTCTCTGTTCTTTCTCTTTTTTTCTAACATGAAATGAGATAAAACTGTTATCAAATATGCCATCAAAGGGATAAAGGGCTTTGTAAAAATCTGAGGTATTTGAAGCTCTGCCAATGGCTGCAGTGCTTGTGTTGCAGATTTTGACTTTTTTTTCAGAAATGCCAGGTTCATCAAGGATTTTATTCTTTAAACTAGCCCCCTACCCTGCTCCCAGTAATTGGAGTGCCTTGAATCTGAAGATAATGTGTATGTATATAAAAATGGTGTGAAAACTGAACATGTTCCTTCTAACAACCCCTCTCTTCACAGGGTTGAGAAGGGAAATTTGTGCGTATAGGGTGGGTTTGGGGGAGTGGGCACCCTGAGAGAAGTTTCTTAAGCTTGCCTGCATCTTAGTAAAAGAAATGCTTCTATTGTCCTGCTGATTCTAATTGAGCACTGGAATCCTAGAGCAGCAGCAGCAAAACTCCAGTGCAGTCTTTGAAATGCGTAAAACTCGACAACTTCAGATGCTCTGGTTCCTAAGACTGGAATTTTGGGAATAAACCCTTGCATATTCCCATACAGAAGTGTACTTTTTGAGATTGTGATAATAGTCTGTTTGCAATTACCAAGCTTGCCTCCCAGCTTTAACTTCCACAGGACACAGCTTTTATGCTAGCCATTGTAACTTTCAAATGGCATTTGAACAAAAGAATATCTAATGTGGCAAAGCTCTTATTTGTACCAAAATTGTGTACACAAATCATTTTAGGCATTTTGAAAGCTCTACAGATGAGTTGACTAATTAAGTTTACTACTTAAATCTGATGCTGAAATTTCAGAACTTAAAAAAATGTCTTTAGATGGGTGAATACTGTTGACTTTAGTAAAAGCTTGAGACTAGTACTGCATTTACCAATGTGGATAATCATGAGAGTTGTCTTTTAATACATCCAACTGAAACTTACAGTAAAGGTAATAGCAGCTCGACCAAAATGTTAATCATATTGTGCTTGAAAATTCATGCTTCTCTCTGAGTATGTATAGTTCGTATTCTACTGTCTGAGGGAGGCTTATCTTGGATGTTCTGGCTTGAGTCAGTAACATTAAGAAGTCTTGTTGCCTTGACTACTTCCAAAAAAAAAAACAACAAACTCTTCCCATGTCAAGCTGCCCCTTATGCTGTTTATGAAAAATATTTATATTGCATTAGAGGTCTTTATTCATCATGCAGGAGAGGAAGAAAAGAGAATGGTGTGCTTTAAATGTGGTGTTAATTTGGCTTGTAGTTGTAATGTAGATTTGAAGTGTCAGTCTTATTAATAAGTTATGCGGTTTGCTCTTGTCAGTTTTGATATGTACCCCTGTGAGTAATGGGTGTGGAGATGGTGGGCTATAAATTAATTTAAGTGATGGGAGGTTTGAGTAAGTTGCTAGGAAACAGGGCAGCAGACCAGCGTAAAGCAGTGAGAGTGCATCAGAAAGCTGCCCCTGCAGTAGCTAGCAATTCTTCAGTAAATTGAAATGATAGTGATGATGATTTAAAAAAAATAAATAAATAAAAAAAAATCATGTAGCCTTGCTTCTTGCATTCATTTTGAGACCTCAGCGACTTTCTTGGCAGGCAAACTTAGCTTACGAAGCCATATAGAAAACTGTGGAACAAAAGAATTTCCATGTTCCGCTTGTCAAAGTCTGTCTCAACAAGTTTTGTTTCATGGTAGACACATGCTCTTCTCTGACATAAATCAAATCTCTTGCCTTTCTTTAAGAATCTAAAGTGTGATGTGTACTGTACCTGAAGGGAGCTGTGCATGAATTAACTAAGCAAATCTTTGCACTAAACTTTGCGTTTATGTAAGAAAGATCTTTTGGGGGTTTGGCGAGACTGTGAGTAAGGAGGTCAAGCTTGGCAATTCCTTTGGTATGCATAGCTCCAATTTCAAATGGGTTGTTTATCCTGAAATTATGATCCTTGTAATTATTTAATATTGGAGCCAATTGCACTAACACACCAGGAGACTACTGAGGTGGAAAAAAAACCTCCAGCATCTAAATGACTTTAGCATAAAATACAATTAAAAAGAGTTTTGAACGTCTTATTTCAGCCTTACTCCAAAAAATAAAATAGTCAGCCTTTCCCCTTTTTAATGACAAATCTTACTGCTACTGGTTGCTGAAGACATAGAACATGTTTTCTGGGTAGGCATTGTTTTTTCTGGCTAGAAAGAGATAATGAAAGAGCTTTAGTGTTTTTTAAGCTTCGTGAACTTTTTCCCCTGCCTGGACACAAGAGGCTTCCAAAATACTAATCTGCAGCTGATAGTAAGGTAACAGCCTTTTGAATCTGAGAGAAGAATATAACTTCATTCAATTTTTTTTTTTTGTTTTGTTTTTAAAACAGTAGGTCACTAAAAGCTTGGTTTTGTTTTTCCCTCCCTCCAGTTAACTTTTTGAAAACTTGTAGAAGCAAATGCTAGATATTGTTCAAGCTTTTCTTAAAGAATGCCCGATAAGTAATCTTGGAGCATGGGCAGATCAGAAGAAATTTTTATAATAAGAAAATGCGTATTAATCAAATCCACACTGTGTCATTTATTGTTGACTAATAATTTAAGAATAAATATTCAGCACTCAAAGTGCAATGTTTTGCCTAGGATTACTATCCAAAACAGAGCTGAGTATTAAGTGACATCTGAAGCATAATTAGCATCCACAAGGCTGTTTTTTCCCAGGACTCCAGAGAAGTGATGCATCCATTTGGAGTTTTTGGACTTCTTACATGTTCTTAAGAGTTATTTATGTTCCAGTCAGTTCAGAACTTCATCTTCCTGGTAAATCCATTTGACTATATTACCATAATATGTCTAAAAATAAACCCTCATCCTGCCTGCTCTCAGAATTTTTGTTCTTGTTATACTAAAGGCCTGCTCCAGTTTAACTTCAGTGGCAGCTGGATTGGGCCTGGCATTGAAGCTTATTCCTAAACTTTCTCAGACTGCATAACATCCAGCACCGTCAGCTTGTTTATGCAGCTGGAAGACTGCATGTCGGAAAATGAATTGCATAAAATTGATGCTTTATGCTTAAAATTCTTGTTA